TTAACAGGCCCCGTTGCAGGCAAGGGATGTATTGGGAGCCCACGTGCCCTTCTGGCTCTGCCTGGGGAGCAAGGTAGAAATGTGCCTGGTACCAGATAGGGAGCCTTGCTTTTAAATTAGGGTGCCTGTGAAGGTGTTTCTGTGGAAGAGAGGAGGGGGATGATGCACTCTGTCTTGGCCATATGTGAAGCCGTGCAGAGAAGGAGCAGGCCCCAGTTTTACACCCCAAACCTTGGAGTGAAGAAACTAGCACTGGGACTGCAAAGTCGCTTTGACTTTTCATTTTCCTTTTTGCTCTAAGTTTATTGCAGCCGTTACTTCAGTGAGGAGGTACAGGTGGATGGAGGAGAAAAGGGAGAATGACTAAGGTGAAAGTGTGGGACCTGGAGTTGGGCTTTCATTCCTCAGGCACACAGGGATTCAGGCGCAGGTGGTGCAAGACAGCCTTGCTGTAATCCTTCCCGCTGGTATTGAAGAGGAGAAAGCAAAAGCAATGAATACATCCTTAGCTGAAAGGCCTGTGTCTCTGATTTGCAATGCTGAAGGGCTGAGAGGTGAAGATTCAGGATAATGGCAAATTCTGAGCTCCACCTGGACTATAGAGAAACCTTGGAGCCACTCCTCCCACCACCAGCAGCCAGCAAGCGGGGAGCGATGGCAAGCCATTGTATGAGGATGTTGGCTCTGTGATTGCCTGTTGTGTGGTACCTGTGAGGGCATTCTGCTTGTGTCTTCATTCCCTCTTGTCTTAAAGGGTTTCATTAGCTTCTAATTGCTGCTTGTTTCCCTCATTCAGAGCAGCCAGGTGCTGTACAATGCTCTAAATCAAGTGTGAAAACACGAGTTGTCAGCAAAGCTCTTGCTCCTCCAGCAAGGTGCTGCTGCAAACGTTTGGCCTTTGTCTGTGGTGATGTAGGGGAAAAGTAAGCTGTTAAACGGGTCTGAAACTTGAATGGGATGGCTTGATCCTACCAACCCAGCAAGGAAAGCCCCATCTGACGGAACTGGAGCTAATTTAATAGGATGATACGGATATTGGCCTCTATCAGTGGTTCGCTGAGCTTGGGCCGAGCAGCTCAGTGGGACAGGAGGAGCAGAAGCACAGGCCTCTCCTAACATAGCATCTTGCCCAGATTCTTTGCAGGGAGGCTGGCTGGGGAAATGCGTGGTTTTGAACCCAGGCAAGGTGGTAATGGGAAGAGAAGCTGTTTGGGTTCCCCATTCAGCAATGCAAGTGATAATAGAGTGGAGGCACTGGGGACTGCTCCCATGGCAGCACACAAGGCTGGGGACTCAGATGTCAGTGCTTAAGGCACGGCTACTGGGGAGCTTGAAGGGTTACGAGGTTGTGAGACCACCATCCTTTGTGAGAAGGGCCACACCTTCTCCCTTGCCTGATTGAAACCGAGTGTAGAAAACACTAAGAGTATTCTTCCCCCCTCTGCCTTACAGAAGTCATCCAGTGGAAACAAGCTGGATTTAAGCTAGCATAGCTGGGATCAGAATAAATACCTTCTTCTTCTGGGCTGTTAAGATATTTGCTAGCGATTGGCCAAAGTCTCTGCTGGTAGGACTCCACTAAACTCAGCGAAGCTTGGATCGAGGTCTCCATTGGCATATTTTTCATCCAGCTCATTAAGCAGCAAGCAGTCGGATCAGATAGGAAACAGAAAGCACGTAGCCCTTGCTGAGAGTATAATATCCCTCATTAGTCAGCTGGGCTTGCAAAAGAGCAGGGAGAGAGAGTTTTTCCCCAAAAGTCCCTTTGCTGACACCATCCACATCACGTAAGGCTGCTGGGGGTGCTCAGCAGAGACGCTGCAGAATCGCTGGGCAAGATGGAGCTGTGCAGCTTGGTGAGCTGAAATGATGCAGCGAGGAAGATCTGATGGAGTGACCTGGGGTAGGGGAAAAAATAAAGAAACCAGAAGAGCAAAAATGCAGCCCTACAGAAAGCCAGGGGATGTGATATTGCCCCTGGGAGCTGCTGGAGGTGGAGCAGCAAGGTTGGCCTCGGCAGAGCAGCAGCTGTAGCACCCAGCAGTCGGTCTGGGACCCTGGTTATAGAGATTTTTTATTTCTTTTTTTTTTTTTTTTGAGCCAGTGTAGTTCACAGGGAGCCTCAGCTTTACTCTGTAGATATTGACAGTGAATTTAGCATGCACTGAACCCATCCGTGGGGTTGCAGTGAACTGTAACAAGGGTGCTGGGCAGGGTAGGCAGGCCACGTGCCCGTCCCAGTGGTGTGCCCATCTCCCCGAGCCCTTCGGCATTAACAGAGGCGAGTGCGTGGCTGTGGGAGGAAGGGGGCAGGAGGGAGATGGCAGCTCCTTTGAAATGTGGAGAGAAGGATTACACCCACTGCGTCTGATAGCGGAGAGCAAGGATTAGTGCCTGTGCGTGACGCTGCATGGCAGAGATTAAAGGCAGCCCCGGGGAGGCAAGGACTGGGAGAGAAGCGGGGAAGGAAAGAGGAATGAGGTGGGAGGGGTGTGATACGGCTGGAAGGAGGGAATATTGTCCTCTGGGTGAAACCCAGGTGGTATAACTCAACGAGACCTGGGTGGTGCAAGGAGCAGGTGAGGTTGCAGCAGAGATGCAAGGACTGAAAGATTCCCAGAATGGACCTGGTGGCGCTTCCTGGCCTTGAACTTCTCCCGGAGCTTCCCATCCTTTCAGCTCTCCTTTCTTTCTCGCACCTGCTGCAGCAGGTGGTAGGAGGCTTACCAAAAGAAGGCTTTGATATTCAGCTCCTAAGGTTGGGGTGACTCAGAGAGCTTCAGAACTGGTGAACTGTAGAGAAGCGAGGGCTTGCTTATTTTCCAGGAGCTGTGGTTTCCTCAGCTGAGATACTGGAGGCTTTCTTTTTTAGGGGCAGGTTCCTGGTTTCCCCAGGTGTCACTTACCAGCATTGACAGCGCTGCCACTGTCAAGGAATCTCTAGTCCACACTTCTATTTTTTTTTTTTTAATATAATCCCTTCTACAATCATGATGCCCAGAAATTTCAAACAAATTAAGTCTCCGTCGTGCCAAGTGGTACATAAAAATATAGGGCTGCTTTTTGCCCCAAGGAGATGTTCCTGCTGTGCCTGGCAAAGAAGCAGTAGCAGCATATGACACAGCTCCACAACGAAGGATTGCTGTGCTGTCAGTGCCTAATCTCATGGATACGAAGATACAAACGTCGGTATAGTCAGTGCAAGGGGGGAGTCTGGAGGTGAGCCTGGTGGATTTTAGAGGTGGCTGGACTCCTTTGCAGTGGCTGTTTATGAAATGCAGAAGTACAGAGCAGACCATCCTCTGAGTGTCTAGAGCCGACGCTCCAGTTATGTTGCATGTGGGATGTCTGCGTTGTTTACTCATGTTTAAAATCCAACCATAAAATTGTATTTGGAGTGGTTGTTACACATTGCCTGCTCTAGGAGCAGACTTTTAAAGCCCACAAGAAATACTCACTTAAAATTACATCTGATTTAAGGGGAAAAGATCGGTAGCTTTGTAGCCTTAATAATTTGCTCAAACAGCTGTAGATTAATGAAAGTGTTGCTCAAGGCGTGTTTCCAGAAATAGCACACAGCTTGGCCCTCTGAAGTCACATTGGGTTAGGCGATGTGTTTGTGCTTTTAATGCACACAGGAGGTGATATGCCAGGGCAGAGAGGGCTCACGGTGGACAATGTCTGGAAGAGCTTGAAAACTGTTTCTTTCTGAGCTGTGTAAGCACCTAATACTTGTTTTTATGTACTGCAGAAGGAACGTCAGCCTCATCTCAGCTAGTGACCACCGAGCGCTCTGCAGCCTGAGCACTGAGAGCCTGAAGTGATTCTCCTGTTCCAGGGAGGAGGGAAGCAGCTATAAATCTGCTCTCTGAAACACTGAGACTTTTGAAAGCATCTTACTAAGCTTTTCACTTCATGATACTGAACGCTATTGAGTTCCGCAGACTGTCTCTATTGTTCGCTGGAGAAGTGCTTTTTAGCTGTGTGTTTTTCACTCCATTGTCTTTTAATTTAATTGAGGACAGAATCACTAGAGACAAGAGGCTATTTGATAATAAACCGCGGTCACCAAGCAGAACCAGTTCTTGTTCTCCTCATCACCCCATCACACGCAGAGCCACAGGAACCTCGCTCCATTACCGTGTGCTTTCCGCAGGGAGGGGTGCAGCCCTTCAAGCCTTGCTGTATGTAGCTTGCTGTATCCAGCCTGTGCTGGAGCAACTGCAGGGATTGCTCAGGTGTGGAGGTGGCACCTGTACTGCAGTACTTGCTCGTGGTGATTAGTGAAGGCCCCTGATGGGTCCGAGTCCTGCTGCAGGCAGTAACTGGTACCAGTGCCAGGCACTGCTGGGAGGGTGGGGACCTTTACTCATATCATGGGTTCTGGTCTCTGAGGTCTCCTGTAGGGTTCAGGAACAGCACAGGATCCTTCCAGGTGGCAAAGAGCATGCCCAGGTGGGGCTCTGCTTCCCTCTAAAGGTACGGTCCCCTGAATTGTGCTGGTGAACTCTTCCTGCAGTCTCTGCTGCTCCTCCTTTCCGTGGTGCACAGCTGAAGCTCTCCCCACCGAGGCTGGTCAGGTGCCCCCCTGTACAGAAACACCCCCTGTTCTGCAAGGAAACGAGGAACCTGCAGATCTGTTCAAAGGCTGCTGCCCTGCAATACCATACACTTTCCTTCTTAGCTGCTCCCTTGATTGGGCTTTTTCCATTGATGTCTGCCCTGATTTATCTGTTTCAAATATGACCGCAAATAAAAGCAGTGCTCATTGAGCTGATCCGATTTGACCTGACAGGGACAAAATGACTAGAGCAGGATGGAAATTCTCTTTTCCAACAGCAAATGGCAAGTGGAAGATGGGGGGAAATACGTCTTGGTTGATGTTTTCCAAAGAAGTGGTGCGTTTCTCTTTTCATTTCTTCTGTGAACCTGAACACGAGTTTGATTTTTTTTTTTTGTTATAAATGAACAAAATCTTTTTTTTTTTTTTTTTTTTTTAGGAAAGACCTGTCAAATGTAATGTTGCTGGAAAATTTTTGGCCAGCCTTAGAGAGGCCCAGCTGTGTGCACACGTGTCCGTGCTGCCTGCGTTAGCTCTGGGTTTGTGTGCCTCAGAGCAGGAGGCTTTATTCATCCGATGTGACCACCGCCGAGGCTCAGAAATACCACCTGACTCTGCTGCCAAAACCCATCGGGCCCAAACATGAGCGAATCTGCATTGTTGGGGGCGGGTTTGAGGCCCTGTGTGTTGCATTATTTTCTCTGTAAAGCAAAGCAAAGGTGGCACTTGACCCCGAGAGCGTTGGAGTTGCCTCCAGAAACCTGGTGGGATGTGAGTGGTGATGGGGAAGGGGGTAGCGGGGTCAGAGAAACAAAAAGCATCTGGATTGCGGGAGGAATTGGCTCTGGAGAAGTGGGAAGATTGTTTCATTTCTCTGCCTGTCCTTCCATTTCTCCAGGATTTATTGCCATGAAGATTGCTCCCGTTCTCATTAACAAACCTCTGCTCCCTGCTGCCATGGGGTCGCTATTAACCCCTCAGTGGTGTGTGCGCGGGGAGAGGTTGTAGCAGCTGTTCACATCATCTCCACCACAACGAGCCTCCAGAAACACGAAAAGCAGATTCAGAAAGCCTCTAAAACTGCACTGAATCCCTGGTGTTTCTTGGAAAATGCCCTCGTTCCCCAGGGATGCTGAGGATCCCAGCTGTTGGTGTGGCTGAGCGATGGGAACGCACGGGGCTGGCAGCTTTGGGACTGGTCGCAGTTACCCTCCTGTTCTCTGCATCAGGGTAACGAGGTGATGAGGCTCTTATGGGGCTGGAACTGTGTCTGATAATTAAAAATGAAAATCCTTAGGAGATCTAGTGCAGGAATATTGCTGAAGAAAAAGAGCAGTGCGGGGAGGTGAGGGAACATTGGGGACTGGATGAGCATGCTGAGTGCGGGCATGCAAAGAGTGAAAATGCTTTGTCGAAGGACTTTTCCAGTGAAAAAGGGGTTTGCAGATCCAATCAAAGATTTTAATGGAAAATAAAAAAAAAACAAAGCTAATTTGAGGGTACTGCATGCTTTTCAGTTCTTGGCAGTTACTTTTTTGGATTTGGAAAAGAAATACATGCATTTGAAATCTCACATCTGACCATTGTTCTGGAAAAAATTGCCAATGACTTGCTGAAAAATGAACTATTAAAAGGAAAAAAAAAAGAAAAGAAAATTGAAAAGACCCAATGAAACACTACCTTCAGGCTTTGAGATTTGAAATTGAGAAATTGTCAACAAAGTTAATTCTGGAACTTTTTCAAGAAAAGGTGATTTCCTTAAAATGCTTGCTGCTTGTTTCACAGACCTCCCTGAGCCGTTGTCAGACCTTGGTGTCTGATGGCCCTTTGCAGAAGTGATGCTCCATGTGTCTGTGCATTTTTTTTTAGTGGATTTGCATTTAAGGCATGTTTAGCAGTGCAGTTGTTCCCCAAGCCTCTGTGCTGTTTTTCAGTCTGAACTGAAGCTGACAGAAGCCTCCTGCATCCCAGCAGGATGGGTGCAGTTGCTGGTTTACATTGTTCCTGCCAAAAGTCTTTGTGGTTGCATTTATTAGGATCACACCTCAGTTTAGGGCCTGATTCTTGGAGGTGCTGAGCCTCACCCTGTGGGTGTTGGGGTGCTCGGAGTCTTCTCCATTAACTTTGTGTGGGTGGTTGCTGTGCTGCAGGCAGCCCTGCCGTTACCGCAGCTCTGAATGACAGTGAAAAAGCAGGGAGAGGTTGGTCGGAGCCGTCCACAAATCAGATAGCCTCTTCCCTTCAGACAGCCTCATCATTTCTTGCTTGCGTCTGCAGAGAGCTCATCAGCTCCCAGGTAGCTCGGCTGCGCTGTGCGGCCAGTGGGTGTCCTTGCCCCCAAATCCATCTTCATCCCACGCGGGAGGTCTCTGAGCTCCTGGCTCTTCTTTCACCAGTCCCTGAAGCTAATCTTCTTGTTGTGGGCACTTCACGTCTGTTTTTTTCCCTGTGCTGGCAGCACGTTTTGCAGACCCTGTCCTACTCATCTGGCAAGGCAGGGGAATTGCTTCTGCAGTCTCTGAGATGAAACCCCTCTGAAGGCACCAAAATGAGCCCTGGGCAGTGTGTGGCCTTGGTGCTTCTCTTTGGGGGTCAGCTGGCATCATGCTTCAGCGGAGCTGCCTGCTCTGGTTCTTCCCCTGCAGATTTTGACCCTTCAGGGTATGAATATATCACTTGTCCTTTGGGTTCTTCCCTCTGTACTCTCAGGCCAGGTCTTCCACATCCTGCCAAGGGCCAGAGTTAGGAGATGTCTGGGCTATCAGACCTGCTGCTGGGTCTCACGGATGCTCTCTGGGGCTTAATCAGTTGTAAAATAATAATAATATTAAGGCTGCTACCTGATATCCTGCAATGTGCTTCCTGCCATCCCTAACACCTACAGACCGCTGGTGTTATAACCACCGTGTGACCTGGAAGGGTCAGTGGGATGATTTTGGGGGTGCTTCCAAACAGAGCTGCCTGTAAAATAGGGGGCACTGATCTGGATCTTTGTGTCCCTGTACTGAAGGCAGGGTCAATTTGCTTGTGCAAGGGGCTGCAAAACAGTGGCACCTGTGTATGGCACCTGGCCTTCTCCAAGGGGCACCTGGGAGATCTGTCCTCGTCCCCAGCTGAAGAAGGGATGCCTTTTGGTCTCAAAGATGAATCTACATTTTTAAGACTAGACAGTGTTGGTAGATCAGTTTTCTTTGCAGAATTGATGCCAGAAGACCGTACTGTCTTTTCCACGTGCAGGTAAGCAGGGAGAAGGGAAGGATGGGGATGGCATTTGGTTTTGCTGTCTTGATGGAGAGAGAATTAATTGCAGGCTTCCAGTTTGCCGCTAGGTGCCAGCCTTACCCTGTGCACCAAGGGCTTGGTTATCATTATTAGGGGGCAGGGAAATGGCACCCTTAAAGGACACGTCCCACCTGTCTTGCTTCCAAATCCCTTCTTGTAGACAAGGAGCTGGGCGCAGAGGAGCAGGTGGTGCAGATGCACACACCAGGTTGTGAAGATGGAACTTGGATTTTGGCCACGTTTGAGATGTGGGCAAAACAAACAGTAAAAGTAAGAAGCTGTTTCAAGAATATTAAAAGGTTTGATTTGGTTTTAGGAGCATCCTGCTGGGCTGCTCCTCGTGTCCTGCTCCAGCAGAGCTGGGCTGTGCTTTGGTTATCCTTTGTCTAGTGTTTTGTGTGACCTGGGGACCTTGTCTTGGGCCAGGGGAGCAAAGGAAACACCAGTTAGCACCAGGAGGGTGCCTCAGTGACCAGAGGTGTGTTGCTGCCAGGCTGATGTTAAAACTGAGACACGGGATCATTATTTATTGGGATTTTCTGAAAGCTTTGACTGCAGCCCTTCTCACATTGACTTCTCTTTCTCTGTCTCCGTTCATTTAATCTTTCCCCATTATGCAATTTGCACATGAATTTATTGCTTCTGAAAGGTGCCAGCTTAGGGATGTCTTAATAGCAGCTGCGATTAGAAATTTCCTCCAGGAGTGGATGGTGTTCTCCGATCTCTGGGCAGGTTGCTGGGTGTGTTTGAACCTGCTGTGTGTGTGTGTGGGAACGTGAATGTACCCAAATCCAGTCCTCAACTGCTGGGATCCGGCCGTTCACTTTTCATTAGCAGTGTGAGTATTCACGTATTTTGGCTCTTGCTAAACTGTCTTGCTAACATGTCAAATACCTCTTCTAATCTTCATGCTTTATGCTAAAGTTTTTGTATTTTGCAAATGTTCAGCGTGACTTTTTTGACCTGAAAGGTGTGAGATGGGTGGCACTGAAGTCAGGGGGTGGTCTCCTCTAGTGGAAACGTTTCCACGTGGGTTTTGTGGTTTGTGCTGTTGGGATGGGAACCAGAGGCGGCAGTCACACCAGCAGTGTGTTTGCAGAGCAAAATATAGATCCCAGCCCACTTGCCTTCCCACTTTTTGGGTAAAATCCTTCCTGACCTCTGGGAACATCTGCCTGCGACTTTACTCACAGTGAACATCCTCCAGGACAGGAGCCTGTGCAGACTGCGGGGTTAAATTCCCTTCTCTCTTGGGTGCTGTGTTTATTTAACACTGCAGGTTGGGAAGTCTCCATTTTGGCCAGGTGGTCCCAGCTGGCTTATGTCCGACAGCATCACCGAATTAAAGCCACCTGACCGATCCCGAGCACTGGGACTCGAGCAAGTACAGCTAAGGAGCAGATTTATGGATGCTCAGCTTTGTTCCTCAAAGCCCTGTAACAGCTCAGCGCCGTTTCGGCACACGTTTGCTCAGCCTGGGAGCACAAAACCACATCACACATGCACACAGCAGCCACGATCTGGTTTGTGTGTCCCCCTCTGAAGCGCAGCCTCTCCTCGGCTGTGAGCATCGCTGTCATCCGTTTCCATTAGGGCGCTAATACATATTTATGTTTTATCACTTCCCAGCTATCTGTTGAAGAGGGGCTGTGCTTTACAAGCGCTCCGTTAGCTGCCTTTAATGGGCATAACGTATAAATAATAATAATGAGAGTGGTAGGAGGAAATACATGGAGTGGAACTCATTAATTACTATTTATCAGTCATTAAGGAGTGAACAAAGTGCTAATTGAAGCGTGTGAGCTTGACTGGCCGTGAGTATTTTCACAGAGCTGTAAGAAAGTCAATGCTTTTCAAAGCGCTGTTAGAACATTTGGAGTCCTACTAAATACCTTTCCCATCACTGATCTCTGCTGAAGGTTTTCGAGCTCTGATGCTGCGTGGAGATTTCGCTAGCGCCATTCAGCAGAACTTCCAGCCTCTAGAAGTGTGTAAGGAGACATCCTTACCTTTGCAATGCTGTTTTGTATTTTTTCCAAATAGGTTGAACGTGTCTGTCTGTCTTGTTCTGTTCAGCTGAATGCTGTGTCCTTTCTGAGCCAGATTCCAGTTTTATTTCCCTCCCATTTTCTGTATCTGCAAACCCTGGGTTTCCTGACAGGGTTGCGATGTCCCCAGGTGTTCCTGCACGCTGCCTTCACGTGTGTGCGTGCAAATCTCCGTGTGTCTTCCCTGCAAATTGTCATAGTAATGGCACATTTTGCTGTTTTGCACTTACAGAAATTATTCTCATGCAAGAGCTGAAAACCCCTTCAAAGAGCAGTGGTTTTTATACCGCTGCAGAGCATCGCAGCCCTGGTTTATGGCAGTGGAGGTAGCCATTGCAGTTTGTTACCGTCCTCGTTCTGTTTGAGGGCATTGCTCAGTAACACTGATAACGGGTTGCCTTTGTGCTCTGCCTCTTCCTCTTCTGTGCCTTTTTTCCCTCTTTTCCGCTATTTGGCTCGTGAGCTGGGATTTCTCCTTGTGAGAGCTACTTGCCAGGCACTGGATCCGTGGCCGAACATCTCCAAGTCACAGCATCGCATCCTGCCGGGGCTCCCTGCACGGAGGGGAGCATTGGGATGCCCCCAGCCTCGCTGCCCTCCTGCTCTGATGCTTCCTGACAGCTGCGATCGCATCCAGGAGGGGCTCTGAGCAGGGCCACGTGTCCGCCCTTCGCTCTCACTTCTGGCTCTGTTGCAAAGCGTGAAGCTTTCCAGTGCATCAAACGTCTGCATCCAGCTGCAGTGGCCAAGCCCAGGGCGAGCCCTTGTCTTGCACAGGGGGCTGGTGTGGGGCTGGGTGTGGGCAGTCATTCGTGGGTGCCCTCCAGGAAAGCGTGGGTGCTGTGTGAAATGGGTTTGTTAATCCCAGCAGTGGCTTTTCCACTTCTCTGCACTGGTGATGCAGCGGCTCCAACGGGCCTCCTTCCTGCTCCGACTGAGTCAAAGCACGGTGACTGTCCTGGTTTTGGACACTGGTTCTGGTTTTTGAAGGCCTGGTCCTGTAACTGGACATGGGAGCAGCCAGAGGTGGTGTTGGGGAATCGGTGGGTGACAATGGTTGTGGAGCAAGAGTGAAGGATGCTGGGGACATCCTCTGGGCATGGATGTTTCCTCTTGGAGGAACGTCTCCGTCTGTATTGAAGTTGCAGCTGGACTTCTGCTCTTCCTTTTGTTTGTTTGTTTTAATATTAGCTTGTTAATTATCCTAAAAAAGAAATCTCTGCGTCGGCTTCTAAAAATAACAAATCCCTAAATGCTTTTGTGCCTGAATAATCTCAATTTGGCGACCCGCGAACCATGGGCAGAAGCATAAAAGAAATCATTTTCTTTTTCTCTTAGGATCCAGATGGCTCAGTTCAATCTCTGTGACATTCTTTAAATGAAATTGTGCTGTAGGAACTCAGCAAGAAACTCATTTCAGGACTCTGGGAGAACTCTGGAAGGGTGGAGGGACCAAACCCACAAATTATGTATCTCAACAAGGGAGAGGAGAGAAGATGTGGGAGGGAAAAAGGAGAAAAGAATTGTAACACAAAATTTATTCTGTGCGTTTTCTTTCCTTTTTTCTTTTTTATTTTTTTCTGTACAAAGAAA